TCCCGCTGCGGATCAACGTGAGTCGATCCTTCGTGATCTTCAACTCGACGAACATTTGGCGGCAAATTGTCCATCATCCTTTCATCACGGTGGTGAGCTGACTGATTGTTCTCGTCCTGATCGCCTTGATGCGCGATATTAGATGGAACACCTCCTTCTCCGACCGGAAGTGGATGCGAAACCGCAGGTATTTGCCGATGCTGCAGTCCAGCTTTCAATTCTGCATTTTCTTTTCTGAGAACTTCAATCAAGTTCATCAACTCTTCAAGCTTTGTTTGCTGGACAGCCTCCATCGGATTGGAGCTTTCACCTATCATTATTCCCGAACGGAGTAAAGGCATTAATCTCAAGTTCGCGAGTAGATCTGAGCTTCGTGAGTAGGAATTTTTAGATCTGGCTTCTAATTCTCCGAATTATGCTCACTGTTTACGAGATCTGAATTGTCTGAACTCTAAATCCGTCAGATCCTGCCACAATCGAACAACTCGTGGTTGCGTAGATCTGAAGTCACTCCTGCCAAAGCTTCAAGAATTGTAATTCCTCCAGAGTAGGTCACAATCGCTCAGATCTGGATTCAAATCCCCAAGATCGAGTCTCGATCAACCGAATTGGTTTGAATCCATTCGATACTCCTCATTGATCAACCAAACTTTCATGCGATTCCCACAGACGGCGCCAATTGAAGATGCAAGAAACTCCTTCTATTCTTTCTCTCTCTAGAATTCTTACACCTCAACCCGAAAAGATCCCTCTTCTATTCATTCCAACTCCTATTTATAGATATTTACAAGATATTTACAAGATATTTACTGATTGCTGGATCTGGGCCTATTCCTCTGTAAGCCCTGGTCACCCTTGATGGGCTTACTCCCGTTCGGCCCATATGGCAGTGTCTTTCTATGGGCTGACCCAGCTGTTCGGACTGAATGTTGTGTTTTGCGAGTCGGACCTGGCCCATGTCATCCGGGGCCTCCTCATTTATGTTATGTATATAAGTTTGTTAAAGTTTGAAAAATGAACAAAAAAAAGTCATAAAGTATCTGTTAAGATATAAAATTCCTAAAAACTCTTATCTTTACCTATAATGCCTTCCCTTATCTCTGCCTATAATGTCCTAATAAGATGAAATGAAAATAATATTGTTAATATTTACATTTTAGACAAATAACATCCCAATCTAATCAGCCGAGCCATTCCATGAGAAACGTCCCAACAGTCGACTGTGGAACAGTAGCACCATAAATTCGATCTGTACTAAATATTGCAATTTCAAACTTTTGCATACCAATTTTCACTCCATATGGCACCCCAATAACTGCGCTCACATACACACTATGCCTCCTGAAAATTACGGAAGAATATATTCGAGAATATGAATTAGAGCAACCTATTATATGAGTTAGATACATCTAATTTTAATATATATATATATTTTTTTAGTATAAGTTTCTATATTCTTGTCTTCTATTTTGAAGGTATCTTGTAATCATCCAAGTAATCTATAATAAAGCTCTCATTCTGGTTTCCTCTATCTAGTTGATTGAACCTTTTTCCGTTTTTTTTTTTTTTTTTTCTCTTTTTTATTAGAAATTTAAGTAAATTGTGTGTATAGGAAAGGAAGATTTTGTGTACGTGTTCCAGAAGAGGCCCAAGGCCCCAAACAAAAAAATACAAACATTGAGCGCTACAGCCCAAACCATTTACAACCCAAGAAACAAGCCCAACAAGAAATAGACTTGGACAAATAGTATAAGTTGTCACAAAATTACTGTTAGTAAAACATTTTATAAAACATTTTTATAAAACATTTTTTTTATAATTAAAGCCCGTTTAAATTTATTTGGTAATGGTAACAATGTTGTTTAAATTAAACACTTTTATTACTAATTTATTATATTAGACACACACTGATAGCAATATTGTATGATATTAATGTGGGTGATCCATTCACATGGCATGATTGCTAATTAACATTACATGATTAGAGTTATACACATTATAATTGAAATATAATTTAAAATTTACCTGCTATAGTATGTGCTATAGTATCTGTGTGACTTATTATATACAACAATGATGCAGATCATTAAGATAAAAAAATAGTTACTAACTCTGCCTAAAACGCAATTTAAAAAATTAATTTTACGTAAACACGCTTATTTTTAGGAAATCTCTACAACCTAAAAGTACTCTTTAAGTCACCAAACACATATAACTGTAATTTTTTAATGTAATTGAAGCTTTTTCATTGTAGAGAAGCAATTCCAAGAGGCACTAAGATGAGAATCATTTTTTTTTATTATTTTCTCTACATCAAAAACACTTCGTTAATTGATTAATATTTGTATTATTTTCTTTAAAATCAACCATCCAAAACTAAAGAAGTGGTAAAGTAGAAAAGACAATCATGATCCATGAACTAATTGATTAATAATGTTAATCAAATTGACTAAATTTTGTTTGAGAAAACAAAAACTTAAGTATTGAAACCTTCGGGAGCTACATTTTAAGTGCTAACTAGAAACTCAAAATTTTCCTTATACTTACTTGAATTTTACGTATTCAATATGTGAATTTTATTATTTTAAATTAAACACTAAAATTTATTTAAAACTAGCGTTGAACCAAATTATCAAACAACAAAGATTTTATATGTCACAAACAGATAAAGGTACTTGGATGAAATTATTAACCCCGATTATCAAACAACAAAGATTTTCTATGTCACAAACAGATAAAGGCATTTGGATGAAATTATTAACCCCATCCAAACTTAGCCCCAAATCATAGTTCGTCGTAACAGTCAATACGCGATATATCAGCATGTTTGTAACCTTTTTTTAAGAATCTGATATCGTTACACACCTCCGTCAACCGATTAGATATATTTAGTATTTTTTTTAGTAATTAGTTACCTTTTTATACTTTAATTATATTCAATGGCCATCATATTTGTTGTGGAGAATGTTTCTTACTTGCCATGAGAAAAAAGATAATTACTCAATGTAGCACAACCTATGTGGTGCCCAGGTGGGGGGTAACCAACCCCACTAAAAAATTTTATTTGCATTATGTACCTATAATTTTTTGTAATTGTATAATTGCCCACACCAAAATTATTAAAAAAATTCCATTTTATAAGCCTCCCCATGATAATTTTGGATCGAATTTAATCCTCTCCTTTTATATTTGTTTTTTCATATATATAGATTTTAAAATTGCTACCCTCAAATTCTTAATAGTATCGGTGCTTACAAGATGCATAGTTTTTTTTTTTTCCTCTAATTTTGTACTCCCTCCTCCCAAAATAAATGTTCCTTTTTCAGAATCTAACTTGGTAAGAGAATAAATTTTAATATATATTTTTTTATCACTCCGAATATTAGTAGTGAATGAATTACCAAAACTATCCATTATAGATCAAGGATGTGGTTGTTTACTTTTTAAAAGTTCAATGCAAGAAAGTTTAATTAATAATGTTACAAAAAATATTAATATTATGACTTTTCAAAGTAGACATTTATTTTTGGACAATCAAAAATAGAATGATGGACATTTATTTTGGGTGGAAGAGAGTATGAAAAATCTAACTTCATATAAATTTTCAGCATAAACACCTGTAAATATGACAAATGAAATTATTATCAATTAAAATTATGTTTGATTTCAGCAATCCAAAAGTTTGTATCAGTGAATATTTGTAATACAACCTAAGCAATAAAATATTTCTTTAATTCGCTGATGATATCATGTCATCAATATACCAGAAGTCATAAATTATATGGCATGAGAAAATAAAAGATCATTACTAGTTTTCATTATTCAACTGGAATTGGTGGCCGGAGAAGAAAGGTAAGAGCACGAATGGCAAGGCACACTTATCAGCCCCCAAAGAACCAACAACCTCCGGTGAGCCGTTACCTAATTTTCTTTGTTTTTTTGGTTTTCCAGTACTCTTGTTAGATTGACTTGGACAAAACGTAGAGATGCTTCAAAATGGTTTTCAGAGAAATCATCATTAATTAATTTAATTTATTATTATTTTTATTTTTATTTTATTTTATTATTTTTCTGACAAAGGAGGAGAAGATGGACTTGAACAAACCAGGGAATTGTAAGCTCGACCAACTAAATTACTGAGTAATACCTAAATAAATCATCATTGGTTGGATTTAAAGACCTCACTTTCCTAAGAGGAGAAGAAAAAAATTCATGACCTTCTAGATAAAGAAAAGACGTTTCAGATATCATTTTATTAACATACACACGTGGGAGATAGAAAATGACGATTGATTTTCTTGGGCTTTACGAGCATTTAAAATATTGATTTTCTTCCAATTGTTTTACGTATTAGTTCTTAGTCACATGAATGGAAGGTTCTTGTCTTTATTATATATACAATTTATGACCCATAACAGTAGATTGCTATTGCAGATGAAAGTCGGCTATCAAATTCTTCCTTGTAGTTTACCATAATATTTGCCAACAAAAAATAGGTCACGATAATGAGAGTTTGCTGCAATTTTCAAACACAATGTCGATCAATCTATTCATCTGCTAATGAGAGTGCTTTGGTGCTGTGTAATATGGACATTACTGGTACAGATGATTTCAAATTTAATTATTTAATTATTTGAGAAAAACTATCCGAAGCTAGAACTACAATAAAATATTTCTATTTTTAAGACTTTCGTCCCATGAATCTCTCTGAAGTTTTTATTGATGCAAGGATGAGGTAATTATGAGGTGTGTATTGTTTGGTTATCTCCTAGTCTTGTAAGTTTTTGCTGGTAAACAACACGTCTTGAGCTTCAAAATAAAATAAAATAAAAATTATGAAACGTACACACAAACCACGTGGATTAAAAAATTAATAATTTGTCAAGTTACATGCATGATGGTGGGATCTATATAAGAAACGCATCACATGAGATGAAGAATATAGCCAACTCCAATAGCATATATAGCCAAACTCAGAAAAAGAGAGAAGAAAATCATCGATGGCTAGTACTTGTATCCCAGTGATTGATATGCAAGATTTTCCAGGAGAATCTGAGAAACTAATAGCAGCGTGTGAGGAATGGGGATGTTTTAGGATCATTAACCACGGCATTCCTGTCACCTTGCTGTCTGAGATGCAGTCCATTTCCCGATCTCTCTTCGACCTCCCGGTGGAAACCAAACGCCGTTACGGTGAGGCTGTGGATGACAAGGGGTACAGTCCACCTCAAGAGCCCACTCCTCTTTTTGAGGGATTGGATGTTTATGACATGACCTCCTCTGGGGCTGTCCACGCCTTTTGCTCTCACCTTCATGTTTCTCCTCACCAACGGTATGTGCGCCCCAACACATAGCACAAAAATCTCATCATATTTGTCTTAATCCTATATGAAAATGTTATTTATCAATTTTCATTTAAACTATATATATATATCTACACACATATTAATATGTAGGTATACACAACTATTAATTATTTTCCTTTGTTAACATATAATCATGTATACTTGCCTGATTTGGATTTCTTGTATTTTCATAGGGAGACAATAATGCGGTACACTGAAGCTATACATGAGTTGGCCATGACAATTGGAAGTAGGTTGGGAGAGAGTATGGGGTTCTGCAGTGATTTGTTCAAGGGATGGCAATGCCGACTTAGATTAAACAAATACCATTTCAGTCCTCAAACTGTAGGATTAACTGGAGCTCCGATGCACTCAGACGCTGGGTTTCTTACAGTAGTACATGATGATGAAATGGTTAATGGTCTGGAAGCAGTGGACAACAAGTCTGGCGTGCTTTTCCCCATTGATCCAATGCCAGGAACCTTACTTGTCAATGTTGGAGACCTTGGCTTGGTCAGTAAAATGGCCACCCAATTTGCTTCTGTTTGGTTTACAAGAAAATGTTTCTCTTCATGTGGGGTGCAAACAATAGCTCCCATGCAAAATGCACACATGTTTTCTTTTGTATATGCATAGTATAATACACTAACAATCTGAATTTGATAATTTATTAGCTAAATAAACTAGATATGTAATACACTAATCTGATCCGATAATAATTCAATTCTATATAATATGTTATAAATATAGTATCAAATGTTGTAATATAAATATTTACATTTTCACTGTCTAATGATGTGAACAGGCATGGAGCAACGGTAGATTTTGTAATGTGAAGCATAGGGTACAATGCAACGATGGAAAGATACGAACATCAATGGCTTGCTTCGTGTTAGGACCAAAGGAAGGGAAAATGGAAGCACCACCTGAACTGGTGGACACTGAACATCCCCGTCTCTTTGTTCCTTTCACTTTTCAAGAATATTTGAGACTCCGAATCTCCACCAAATCACCAACTGGTGAAGCTCTGCAGCTTTTGCAAACCGCTTCTTGAAGATTATGGAAGAACTTGTTTGAGAATATGAATGAGAGCAAAGTATAATATGAGTTAGATACATCTAATTATCAATGTTACGGTACTTTTGAAAGTTAAGAAAGTAATTAATCAGTCAGTTATTAGACATGAAATATTAGAATAAGAAGCTAACTATTTAGCTTCTAAATGGCTAGGAAACATACTAAAGTTTATTTATTTGCTTTTTCTACTATTAGTTTGTTTCTGTGTTTTCTTTATCTTCTATTTTGTAGGTCTCCTGTATTCATGGAAGAAATCTATAATAAAGCTCTCATTCTGGTTTCTTCTATCTTGCTAAATGGCTTTTGTGTTTTGAAATTTGAGTTGTTTTATGTCAATTATTCAGTCTTATTCTTCTTAATTACTGAAAAAAAAAAAATTTATATTAAAACACCTTTTTTTTAAAATTACTATCACTCAAATCCCAAATAACTTTTTCGTCATTGACACCGTCAAAATGAGTATAATATGACATTTTTACTCTCATTTTTTAAATTTCTTTTAATCTAAAACGTTCCTAATTATATAAGAACAAAATTACCCCCATCGATTATCCAACAACACCAACCAACACCCTCACCCTCACTCTCAATAACATGATTACTTTCCTTCAATTAAACTGACCTTCAAATTTTGCTTTTATGGTCTTTCTTCAGTTTGATCAAGCTATGTCAGATCACTCTTCACTCTTTTTTCTTATTAATATTGTTTTTTTATATGTAAACATTTAAATAAAACCATCATTCAACTCGCATCAATTTATTTCAATTTGAGCTATTTTCTTCTTTGGATTTAAGGGCAAATAACAATGTGTTGATCTTAATTAACTTTTTTAAAAAATTGCAGAATTGTGGCAATTTATTTATAGAATGCGGTATTATCATTTGTCCATCCCCATAACATAAATTTCAAAAGGAAAGCCTTTTCCATACCCTTACCTTCGAAGCTTAAACAGAGGAAAATTTGTTTATCATGATTTTGTTACACTAAAAAGTGTGTCTAGAAATTTGCATTACGGGACTACCACACCCCAGCAGCAACCGGGCCTGCTCGTAGATTTTACCATCATCAAAGGTATGCCATGGGCCATTACTGGTGTCGGAAATTAACTTTGAGCTTAAAACTTGGGCCTCCTGTACAGCAAGCCCATATTGCCCACAAAGAAATTCCGTTGCTAAAGGCCTGATTGTCCTGAACTAAATGAATCCATCTAGTCAAAACCCAACTACTGTTGGCCTTTGGGCTTTTAGACTTCGGGATTGTGGGCTGTTGGTTTTGGGCGGCTCCTCTTTTGTATAGCTAAAATGAATTACCGGAGAAAAATAAAAAATTAAATTAAAAGGTTAATTCCACTTAGACTTCCTGACCTTTGCCCATATCTCACTCACACCCCTTCTATGTTTCAATATTTCACCTACGCCCCCTCTTTGTGAAAGCCGTTTACTTTAATTAACAGAACCGGTGATTTTACAACTTTACCCATCAATTATATATTAATATTAATAAAATTGTGGAGCTAAATCAAAAAGACAAAAACACCCTTCAAGACAAATATACACATATGAACCCGCACAAAAAACAGCTTTTATATACCCTTCTGTGGTCGCAAGAGAGTATTATATGCCGTCTCACAACAGAGGACCGGCAGTACCCACCGGAATCTGAACATACCCAATTGGCATCTCGCAACACTGCCCCAAAATTGAATCGTAATCGAACCCATTCAATGGCAGCCCAGGAAGTGACTTCCCAGTGATCCTCTGCAGCGCCTCGCGCCTAATCGCAGTCGTCGGTGGCAATCACCGAGCTTGGTTTGGAGGGTCTATGAGGGGGTTTTGCCGGAGACAACCGAATTGATGAACTCTTCGTCTTCCTCCGATGAGGGTGGGGAAAGTGGACGGTTTACTGCGGTTTTGGGGAAGCAATCGGTGGCGGAAGTGGAACTGGGCAGCAACCCACAACCTCATCGACATCTTCTTCTTCGTCGTCGTCAAGGGAAGAGTGGTTTGTGAAGGTGTGGACGAAGCCGACACCGAAGAAACCGAGAAGGTAGACGAAGAAGGCGAAGAGAGTCACGATGGTGACCATCTTGGAGAGTGTCATAACATGGAGAGGAATGGAGTTGTGGAACTTCAATGGTTTTTGCGAATCGCCGGCCATAACCATATCAACGGCCGCTTTGGTTACGTGATTTGGTTTGTGAATCATTGGTGAAGTGAATTGTTTAGTGGATTTTATCGATCATCATCGGAGATCCATTATATAGACTGGATAGTAATAGTTGTGGGGTTAGGATCTGTTCCATCGAGTTGAGAAATGGAGGAAAAGGTCAAAAAAATAAAATAAAAATGGTGGAAAATGAGTTATTTCTTTATTGAATGAGGTTAAAGATGTCATTTTACATATTGGAAGGGCAAAATTGACTTTCTAAAAATGTTGTCATGCTGACATCAGCACACACCATTAGTTGTTTAACGGTAAGGGGTAATGTGCCACGTAAACCAAAATTTCAGGGGGTCTAGATGGAATATTAAAACCTAGAGGGGGTGTGAGTGTGATATGAACAAAGATCAGGGGGTGTAGGTAAAATTAATCCAAAATTTAAATTAAATTATCATCTGAGGTGTATTATACATATTTTTCTATAGCCAAACACTCTTCGGTTACAGGTGGTCTTCTTCTTCTTCTTCTTCTTTTTCTTCTTCTTTTTTTTTTTTTTTTGTTTTTTTTCTCTCTCTCTCTCCCTCTCTAAAATAAGTTAAAAGTTGCTCAAAATTTTAAAATCAATTTTTGTGCAGTTTTTTTTGAGTCATCCAATCAACCATCCAAAAATAAAAAAGAGAAGAAGTACAAAAGACATTGATAATCATGAACAAATTGATTGGTAAATATAATCAAATTGACTAAAGCATTGTTTTGATAAACTGAAACATTGGAAGTTTTAAGAGTTAAAGTTAAAGCACTAACTAGAAATCGAGAAATTTTTTTATACTTGTTTAAGTTTTAAGTTTTTAATGTGTGGAATTAATTTATTATTTTTAAATAATCTACAAATTGCATTATCAAGCATACTTAATCAAACACACACTTAATTTATTCATAACTAGCGAAATAAGTTACCAAACAACAATAAATTCTTATTAGTGAAATAAATATAGACATTCGGATTAAATTATGGACAATGCTTGGATCCTCCATCTAGGAGGATGAAGTTCATCCTCCATATGATGTGGCCCAATGTCATTGGAACATGTGTCTAAAAAATAAAAACAATTAAGGAAGAGCATTGCCTATTTTTTACCGTTTAAATTGTTTTTTCTTTTTCTTTCCTTTCCTTTCCTTTTACTACATGTATCGGCTGTCTTTCTCTCTCTTCACAACAAAGCAAATTTCTTTCCATCTTCACATCCAACCCCCATCGGAAACCCTAGCAGCAGTGCCCTTAAAGAAAGCATCAAGTTTTTGTTATTTCTTCATATGACATTAATTATAGAAATCTCAACATTCTTACAATTTACACCAGAACATACTCAGCTGCAAGGAACAGGATGTACCAGTTCGATTTTAATGAGCTGTGAGGCCAATGAAGTGATGTGGTTGGCAATAGAGTCAATATGTTGGATTGGCCTTCATAGACTGTCATAGCAAATGCACCTGATAGGTGCCCATGATAAGGACTGGGAGTGGCCATGGCCCCCTAATTTTTTGAAATTTTTTTTTAGTATAGGTAAAAATAGAAATAGTATAGCATGTATTGTATAAAATCTATACTTGGCCCTAACCAAAAAAAAAAAAAAAAAAATTTCTTTCTTTAATTACCATTTAACAAAAGATAATTTATATATAATTTAAAGAAAAGTGATTCAATTGACGACTATAAAACCTTGATAAAAACTGATTCATATAAAAATTTAATACGGCTATTTTAAAATTTCAATTCAAACATGTGATACCCCCGGATTTCCGAATGCGGGTTGGCCAGGCCCACGCCCGAATACCCAAGGATATCAAAACAAATTGATGATAAACGAACGCAGAGTACAAAAGAATAAAGAAGAATAAATAAAATGCTGACAAGAAACTAAAATAATAATCTAATAATAAATCTCAGAATATATTTCCATTAGTTAATAAACTCTTTTGATACAACTGATCCTCCAAAATACAACTCGGGAATCCATACTGTGTAGGCCCCTAGAAAATCCAAACTAAACAAATGACAACAATAACTGTCTAAATCAGGAAACTGGATCATAAAGGAACTCCTATGTAGCATCGGAAGAATGAAGTAGACTGATCCTCGCTCAGCACGAATAACCTCTACTCCTGACGAATACCTGAAAAATAATGGTGGGTCAGGCCCACAAACAAGTTCTACTCTACTACAGTCCAAGCAGAGATCCGATACACGTATACATCCTAGTCAATCCAACAGTAACTAGTAGTCCGTATATATATATATATATATATATATATATATATATATATATATATATACACACACACACACTAAAGGAACCTCACTAGACTATAGGGTTGTCTTAACCTGAATAGTAGGTAACACGCAAAACGCACATATAGTGGGCATGAGTACCTAGACCTACCAGGGTACACAACTACACTATATCTAGCTACACATCCCTGGCAATATACGCACCCTAACTACTGATCCTGAGACTCAAGCTCATATCATGGCACCATACTTATATATATATAATTTAGTAACCATCCTATCCAGTATAAATTAATCCTCCATAAGTCATTCAACTTGTTCAGCTGACCTGACTTGAATATAAGTAGGACTTAACATTTTAGTTAATCCATTCCCTTATATAATAAATTAATCCTCCATAAGTCATTCAACTTGTTCAGCTGACCTGACTTGAATATAAGTAGGACTTAACATTTTAGTTAATCCATTTCATTATATAAAATAGGTAGGACTTAACATTTTAGTTAATCCATTCCCTTATATAAAA